AAAAGCAAACGAAAAAAACTACCTATTTTACAAATCTTGATTCTATTCTCCACCAGCCAGAAACATATCTACAAAGAAAGTTTTTAGTTCAAAAAAAAAAAAAAAAAAAAAAAAAAATAGCAAAGAAAACTACTTATCTCGCAAGATCCCAGTTCTAATTTCTACAACCAATTATTTTAACAAAGCAAACCTACAAAAAGAATGTTAATATTAGTTCAAAAAAAGAAAACAAAAGAACAAAAAAAGAAAAAAAAGTAAATCCCAACTTATCTCACAAGATCCGGTCTTAATTTTTACTACCCGGTTCCTAGCAAGCCTACAAAAGAAAATTAGTATTAGTTTAAAAAAAAAAGACTATTAAGAAATCAGTATTAGTTAAAAAAAAAAAAAAAAAAAGCCACTTATCTCACTAGATCTCATCTTAAAAAAAAAAACAGCGAAGCAAAAAAAAACCCCAGTAAAGCAAAAAAACAAATACAAGCGAAGCAAAAAAAAAAAAAAATCTAGATCTAATTTAGTAGGGATAGAGATCGGATTAAAGAGATGAATTGACCCCTAATCTGACATCGGTACTACCATTAAGAGATATATCTCTCGGTGAGATATATCTCTCGCAAGTTATGCCTATAATTTCCCTAATAATAAACCACTGATAAGAACTTTTTCTTATTATATAAATAATAATATCTTAAAATATTGTAAAAATAATTAGTATACTTTTAAACAAAAAATTACAATAAACATTTTCTAAATATATATTCTTTATAACTTATATTCACCTATATTCATCTACATCAGATATAATTTTTACAATTTGATTAGATTGTTCCTTCGAACTACCTTCTAATTTATTAATTTTGATGCTGCAAGAAAAAGTAAACTTTGTATCATTTTGATTCTCTTTATTTTTAGATTGATTTTTATTATTAATGAAATTTTCAACAATATCAAATTCTTGTGATAAAATATTACTAAGTTCATGAATTTCAACTAAAGGATTAGATGGTTGTTTATTATCTACATTTTGTTTGTAAAGCTTATTTTGAGTGTGATATGTATTGCAGATATGAAAATTTTTATTATTGCCAATGAATAAATTTAAAGAAAGAATTTTTTTATACTCGCTACAAAATTCTGGCCTATTATTCTCATCAATTATTACTAGAGGATTTATTGTATTAATTTTTTTATATTCTTTTATGACTCTTCAACCAAATTATCCTATTACAGAATTATTTTTTTTAAAAAAAATTAATCAATAATTTCAAAAACAAAAATCAGTTAGCATTGTGTTATCAAAAGCTATATTAATATAAAAATAAAGATTAATCTGAAATTTTTTAAAAAAAACTTTCTCCAAATTGTATTGTATAGCTTGCTTAAATGAAATGTTTAAATTTTTTTTGATAAACTAAGAATCAATTGCATTTCAAAAGCTCAAAAGCAAAATTGTTATAAAAATATATACAAACCCAGAATTTTTTTAAAAAAAAACTTTCTTTAACCTTATCATAAAGCTTGCACAGATGATCACTATTGTTTTTGATCAAACTATGAACTAATTATATTTCAAAAGCTCAAAAGCAGTGTTGACAAAAATATATACTAACTCAGAATTTTTTTTAAAAAAAAAACTACTTTCCTAACCTTATCGTATCCAACCTTTT